TTGATTTTTCCGTTTTATATGAATTCCATGTTGTACGAGTCACTTAGATTTTACAAATACGTGAGCCGTTCACAGCCCTGCACACGTATTTGTAAAATCTAAGTGACTCGTACAACATAGAATTCATATAAAACGGAAAAATCAAGTGTTATAGGGGGTCAACTGTATATACTAAGAAGTACAGGGGATGTTAACACGGAGTGTTATGACTTCGGGGTCTTCTACACATTTTGCAGCATTAATCAAGTAGGTGCCTTTCTAAGTGAGGCTTTACGCGAATGTACAGATTGCACTATCCCGAAGCCTTCACTAACGAGATTTGCAAATGGGGAGGGGGCACAGAGAAAAATGGAAAGTTTGCAACTTACTCGATCACGTTCGGCTTAGTTAAACTTTGCGAAATTTGCTAATCGTAGACGTAAAAAATTTAGACAATCGAGTCGGTATGAACGACCGTTGCGGAACAAAATTTTGACACGCTATTGTTACGCGTGCCAACTTTTCAAATTTATAGTTCGTCTAGACTCATACGGAAATGCGACAATATGAGGTTTCTCTATAATTATAAAAAAAAAATACTAGGCGGTCCGTGACCCAGTTTATTTTATTTTATTTTATTTTTTTGTTTTTTTGGCTTAGAATCGATATTCAGTCCTCTTCCATTAGGGGGATCGATTTCAATCTCACTTTTCGCGGAACCAGTTTCACAAAATTACAGCTGCTACCTGTGTTGACACAAGGACTATATACTACAGGACTGTAGTTTATAGTCCTACATACACCAAGGACTGTAGTTTAAAGTCCTTGGTGTTGACCAGTTAACAAATTTTTATTTTATTTTATTTTTTGTTTTTTGGCTTAGAATCGATATTCAGTCCTCTTCCATTAGGGGGATCGATTTCAATCTCACTTTTCGCGGAACCAGTTTCACAAAATTACAGCTGCTACCTGTGTTGACAAAAGGACTATATACTACAGGACTGTAGTTTATAGTCCTACATACACCAAGGACTGTAGTTTAAAGTCCTTGGTGTTGACCAGTTAACAAATTTTTATTAATAATGCTAACTCTCACGACGGATCGTTGAATTTCCAGAAAATAATCACTAATTGCTGCAGAAATCTCTAAATAAATAGAACCCGCACAGTGATGGGAATTGTGGTGTTGTGTTCGAGTCAACAGGAACGTGCAACACAGAAATTAATGAAAGTTGTATTCTGTTTTAAAAAAAACAAACTAAAAATATTAAGCAATGGGATAATATTGCCTTTATTACCAAATTCAAAAGTGCTTCCATTCAAATTGCTAGATATTTTGCTTGCACCACGAGTTGTCATCGATCAACTTCGTGTGTTTACACGTTCATTTAACAAAATAAATACACTATACTGTATTTCCAAACTATAATATTGCATTAATTTAAATTAAATAATTTATTTTTTGTCATTAGTCAATATTAAAATATTGTGAAACAATATTTATAATAATAGATGGTATTTATGCATATTTTAATGTACAGTAAGCCTATATATCCTCTTTTTAGTGATAGAAGAAATCAAAGCCGGATTTTCTTGAGAGAAATATGAGTCATTTATACGTGTATTATACAATGTATTTGAAAGATAAACACTAGAATCTATAATTTATCTTTTAATATCCTATAATTTTTGTGTCTGGAGCATAAACAAACGTGATCATTATGATTAATATAAATATTAAACAATAGTGTTGCGAGCATCTCAATTTCCTCTATATTCTATGGTACATAATGAAATAGTTATATAGAATTTTTAAAAAACTAAAATAACTCTAAATAACCGTGTTCTATATCTTAAACGTATGATAAAATATTCCGGATATTACTAACCTCTCTACTGTTCTTTCGACACTATTTGAAGGTTAATAACCTTATCTATTTCTACACCATTAAGAAAATAATAATGAACATTACGTTTTCAACGAAAAATTCGTTATTAAAATCTTAAATTTTTGGCATGAAATAATTATAATTTCGATTTGTGGTGTACCTAGTCTGTTGCGAATAACGGACGATTGATAAATGGATTTGTTCTAAGAAGGTGAACGAACCGAAACGATCTTTAAAACAACGGACATGCTACGTGCGCGTGCACTATCCTTGACACAAAACTTTCGCCTTCCTTAGCCCCAGGCGAATGTCTAAGGCCGAAGAATGGACACCCTCACGGGCAACCTAGGCCTACTTTCTATTTCTGTGTGTAGATAATGCCTGGGGAATTTACCAACTTCATGGATCTTATAGCCTCTTCCGCTTTGTTTCTACTGTAGTTCGCTTTGATGGAAAAATCTCACTCTCTACCAAATTTATTGATTCCATAAGACGTAAAAATATTGTTATTAGAACCACAGAATAGATTTAAAATTGAAAATAGATTGGAAATAATTGATTAGAATAGAAGCAAGCGTGACCGAAAACCTTTAACTTCCACGTTTGAAACAATTGGCAGTTAGAAACCGAATAAAACTGCAAGATTTAGAGGATTTTTTGAGCTAAATATTAATAAAAGTTATCATTACGTAGCATATGACGTGAAGGAATTTTAAGAATAAAGAAGAAAAGAATCAGATAGGAGAACATTCGTATAGATTCTGTAAAGAAGAATTCCCCCACCGGTATAAAATTCGATTACAAAATGCCGCATTATATAAAAAAAAGAATCATAAACGTGCTTGGAAAACTTACGAAATAATATTTTTATTTCCGAAAAATATTAAATTTAGCCGACTGAAAATAGTCTGGTTGGTTGCGGGGGGGAGAGATAGCTGTCGTAAGTAAACGTCATTTGGACGACATTTGCCATCCGACCAATCGGTTGGAGGTATGTGTTTAGCGCGAGAGGACAAACTGACGTCGATTATGAATTTCGTAAGGTCAACAATGTCGAATTAAAACTGTTCGCGGATAATGCATGCGCCAGTTTCGCGACAATCGGACGAACGACTCTCCTCTCCGTGAGGTAAGTGCTCTTTTTATTAATGATCGCTCGTTTAACGATGTTTGGTTGGATAAGATACGTCAAAGTAACTGTATTCCTGGATAGTTTTAATTAAATTAGACACTATATTTATGAGAAACGAGAATTAAATGTTAATTACAAGTGTTAGGATTGACGAATATTCGTATCTAGTATCCTGGATAAGGGTACAATAAGCAGTTTTGTGTGTATAACCTTAGCAATTGCGTGACGTCTACTCGTCTACACAATAAAATCTTTGCACAGGATCGATTCGATCTACTTCGATCGTAGTGTTAGGAGAAAGAGGCCAATTATAGTCGTTATCGATCAGTACGTTATAAGGTTAAATCTGAGTTCATAAGGTTGTTTGTTTGTTCCGGAAGTAGTGGTGAATTCGAGTCGAAGTGTGTATAAATACGATTGTAATCGTATTAGAATCGAAGTAAAGGTACCGATCTGTCAAATGAAATTACTATTTTGTTTAATTAAGAATTACAAATTTGTTTTATAAATAAATTGACCATTTGTTTTGAAATTTGAGTTGATTTTCATTGTGACACGCTTTACGAGCCACACAATAGGAACGAGTTGACGATAAAAAGTAATTATTATTATTTTTCTTTCTTTTGCAGATTTCGAATAATTTTACGGTTGAAATGGAGGCGATAGTAAACAATTCTTCGTCTACGCTGTCTACTATTCCTCATTATTCTATAGTCTTTAATTTTGAGAATGAATTCGACCAACAAGTGAAGAAGGAATGGATGAAGAACTATTGGCAATTATCTCTTTATTCTGTGAGTGTCTACATGATTTTTATCTTTGCCGGACGAGCTTATATGAAAAGTCGTCCACCCTTCGACCTCAGACGAATTTTGACCGTGTGGAACATAGTCTTGGCTGTATTCAGCATCATGGGAACTCTAAGAACTATGCCCGAGTTTTTACATGTCATTAGAGAATTCGGACTCACCTTTTCTGTCTGCAATCCTACTTTTATGCAACATACTAAAGTCTCCGGATTTTGGGCTTGGATGTTTACTTTGTCGAAGATTTCTGAACTTGGTGACACCGTCTTCATTGTCTTGAGAAAACAAAAATTGATCTTCCTCCACTGGTATCATCACATTACCGTTTTGCTCTTCGTTTGGTATACTTATACCGAATATTTGGGACCGGCTCGTTGGTTTATGGTGATGAATTACTTCGTCCATTCCTTCATGTATTCCTACTACGCATTGAGAGCCTTGAGAATTTCCGTACCGAAATTCGTGGCTCAGGCAATAACCACAGTTCAAATCGTTCAAATGTTTGCTGGATGTTTCGTTTGTTTCTGGGCCTATCGGACCAAATTGCGCGGAGAATTTTGCCAGATTTCCATGAGGAGTTCTCATTTGGCCATATTGATGTACGTCTCTTACTTGGTCCTATTCAGCAGGTTCTTTTATAACTCGTACCTGAAGCCGAAGCAAGATAGAATGAAAAAACTCGAATAGAAACGACTGAAAATTTCCGTTTTCCTCTTTTATTTTTTCGATTTTTTGCGGTTCATCCGTCCACCTATTGATGATACATAATGAAAAAAAGAAATTTATCGCGCTTTCGCCATATTGGATGAATTGTTAACTCGTCAATTATTGCCTTGGTCAATGATTTGCGATGTTGCTACTCAAGGGACCAAATGTTCTTGCCAGACGAGAGTGTATATTTTTTTAAACGTTAAGTCATCTCCAACGAGATAATTGTTTTTACGCATAAACGAATGCCTATTTATCGTTGTTGGTTTTTAATTGGTTATATTTTGTTATCCCTGGGAGGAATATGTTTTAACTTTATTGTACATAATTTAAAGCGTAAAAAAAAAGAAAGCTGTACGATAATAATGTATAAATATGTAAATTGTTAGAAATTACCCGTTTAATTTTAGTTCAAAATATATCTACGACATGAAACCGTATTGGAAAAATATTGCAAAAGGCCACCAATCGGGCCAAAGCACAATTTAAATCGATCAATCAAATGCGCGATTCGATTGGTCTTTTTCGTTTAAAGCTAGACTATTGGACGATAACTGTGTGTGTGTGTGAGAGAGAGGAAGTCACGTCATCATCGGCTACTGTTTCGTCATAACTTATTACCGGAAACTATTTTCACTTATTTAGGACTGTTTTAGATTTCAGAAAATGTTTAAAAAAATATATTTAGCGATTTAATTCTAATATTCTAATCAAATACATTTAAGAAAATAGCCGAAAATAAGAGTCTAGTTTAAAGTAGGCATCGTTACAAATATTTAATTTTACTTCCATATTTTGTGATATTTTATATTATTAATAAAGTTGTAGAAAATTTTCAAGTATAATTTTTATTATTTAATTACGAATTATTATTATTATTATTAATAAAGAATTTTCAAATAAATACTAGGTGTCCTTCATTTATCGTATTGCCATCTGGTGACGTAATTTTGATATTTTGTGAAATTATAATTTTAAATTATTAAAATCAGATTTTTTAAATTTAATATATTTCATGGTTTTACTCAAAATATTAAAAATTAAAATTAATATTAAATATAATTAATATATAAAGTTAATTCATTCATATATTAATATATCTGTATAAAATAATTTGATTTAAAATTAGGCGATTAGATCACCATCTAGTGGTTATATTAATAACTACATAAAAGGTTAAATNCGAAAGCCACGAAAGTTTTTAAGTCTCTCGTTGAATATTTATTAATATTAGCACAAGATGGCAATCCAATCGCCTATTTTTAAACAAAATTATTTTGAATAAATTTCTAAATAAAATTACATTTAACTAATTAACTAATTTATGTGCATTTTGAATGAGATCAAAAATTATTTAAATTTCTAAAAATTAATATTTTATAAGTTTTAGACGTTTTAAAGAAGATCGTTAATTTTATTATTATGGAACTGATCAACTCCATTAATAATTCCCGATGAAATTTCTTCACTCATGGCGGAAATGTCCGTTAATATTTAATCTAAACTTTGCCTTGATTAAAAAAAAAACAGCCCTAGACTATAACTCACGAGTTTAAATAACAATGAATTTTTTCTTAATTTTTTATAATCACGTTTCAATTTATTAAATTGGCTTTACGTTTCGGCACAAATTACACAAACTTTTCGCAGTAAATTTAGTATTTTCATTCAATATCGCGACGTCTTAAACTCTGGTTTCGACCGCGACATTTCATCATCTCTCTTCTTTATGCATGATTAAGTACAGTAGTGGCGAACCTATGACCAGCGGCCAGACACTGACCCACGCGAAACGATACAAGTTCCAGCCAGACCATATCATACAGAATGGTTTGATAAATATGGTGTGATTGAAAAGAATAAAACGACTTTTTGTGTAATTTGTAACGAGAAAGTCACTTCACGTACAATACACACAATGTAAAAGACATTTTGAAAAGTTGCAAAAAGAAGAGCTAATATAACAACAGACGGTGCACCCAATATGGTGGGAAAAACATTTGTTTTATTCAGTATCTTAAGCAAAATATTACACGTTCTCTAATTGAATTTTATTGTATAATACACCAGCAAGTTCTATGTACGAAGAAAGGTTTAAAAACATTTTCCAATGTAATGCTAGTTGTAATAAAAGTCATAAACTTTATAAACGCAAGAGGTCTTAATAAACGACAATTTGCACAATTATTAGAGGAAATTGAATGCCAGTATTCAGGAATTTTGACATACAACAACGTTGCTTTGAAAAACATTTTCAAAACACAATAATTTTTGAAAATACGCTTTCAAATTCAAGAAAATGTAATTAAAAAATACAGTCGAACTCCCTATAACACTGTTGATTATTCCGTTTTATATGAATTCCGTGTTGTACGAGCCACTTAAATTTTACAAATACGTGAGCCGTTCACAGCCCGGCACACGTATTTGTAAAATCTAAGTGACTCGTACAACACGGAATTCATGTAAAACGGAAAAATCAACAGTGTTATAGGGGAGCCAACTTGTGATTATACAGAAAATAAAACAAGCTTTTGAGGAATTCGAAACAATGGAGTTAACCGAATTTATGTGGCTAATTATCCACGATTTAGAAATCGAATTAGATGAATTTCAAAGCAGTATAGTGTGGAAAAATAAATTTGAAAACTTGATTTCCGAAGTAGAAGGAAAAAATGTCTGAAAACAGTGCAGATAATAATGATAAATTGAAACACTAAAAATTGAAAATATTTTATTAAACGTATGGGATTATTTACCAAATAATTTTATATTAATGAAGAAACTTGCTAATGCTCTTTTAACGATGTTTGGGTTTACATATTCGTGTGAAAAATTGTTTTCTTCAAAGAATTTTGTAAAAACTACCAATAGTAATAAACTTGGAAATTAATTGACTTCGAAATACGTTAAACTAATTTATACGGAATATGAACCTAATAATAAGAAACTATCTGAAAATAAACAATAACAGATTTCTCATTAAATATACTTCAACTTTATTATCAACTTTATTACACATACACGTAACTATATCTATTAATAAATAATATTTCATAATAGAGAGGTTGAGGCGCACGTATTTAGCCCAAAACGTGTAGGGTAACGGGTGAGCGCCACCATCTGGCAGTTCTGGACCGTCGATAATGGCGTTTGCTACGTGTAGCTTGGTGAGTACACGATCGGCTTAAACATCTTCGTTTTTTGTGTTTGGGGTTAAAATTATGATTTATTTTGCGTCCGCCATTTTTTTTCAACTTATTTCCCGTGAGTCAATGCGCGATGCTCACTGAGTCACGTGATGTTATGAACGTGTGCCTCAACGATTTTTACTTGGACTTGAAACGTGTAACGTGTACTTCTGCTACCCGTACACGTTTAACGTTTGAACTTGTGCCTCAACCTCTCTAATATATATGTGATTTTTTTTATTCCTTGTTCATTCAAATACTCAGTGCATGGGCGACTACCGACATGGGCATGGTGTGACCTGGTGCGGTAATTCATGGTATCACCCCATTGATATCAATTGTTTGACGTCGACCTTTATTTTTTGCTCTTCACTTGCAAAAGTAAAAGTTGTTAAACAAAAAGGAAACGTAAACTTTTTAGAGGATTTTAAAAGTGAGAACCAAAAAAAAGTACTTTTTAATCATCCTCCCCTTAATCTTTCCAAGTTACCCACGAACTAGTATTATAAAAAATAATGAACAAAATTTGACCCATTTCTCAAAAAGGTTCGCCATCACCGATCTAGTATTTATGATAAATTATTGCTTTGCTCATTAAGCAACAGTTAATTTACTTAAAATAAATGCTCGTCTCTGTAAATGAATATTGTTTTTCTTTGGTTGTCACTCACTGGTAATCGTGAAACGACGGATTTGTAAAGACAAAAAGGTTTTGTATTCTTCAGTAATCTTCTTAGTGATTGAAAAAAAAAGAGAAATTTGAGGACTTTAGCCCAGTTGTCAGCTTAATTTTCAGTCTCAGATGACTGTATCGTAACCAACGATAAAATAAACTGTGTCTGTTTAACGTTCGAATAATACTAATCGAACCTATCCTTTGTGGCACCCGTACAGACTTGAAAGAGCTGATTTTAATAATAACATAGAAATGTAGGAAAAACTGCACGAATAATTGTTTTATTGGACTTCTTACTCGTTAGTCTTGAATAGGAGTGGCATATTCATCCTCTGTTTGAACTGTCATTAGCAGTATCTTCGTCATCATCCAGTTGATGAGTATTCTTCTTTCTCCATAACTTGCAGTGATTTTTTAAAAAAAATTTAAAAAAAAAAAACATATAAAACATTCATTTACCCGTGAAATGTGTACCCGTAGCATTTAATTTATTATTTCAAGCGAAAGCCACGAAAGTTTTTAAGTCTCTCGTTGAATATTGAAGCTTAATATGATCAAAAACCTCCGGTAACATGGCGGGCAATTTGCATTCAAAGAGTTTAGGCGCCTCAACACAGAACCACCGCCTTAGTTATACTTCTTTATGATTGTCGGCAGATTAATAACGATACTAAATTAATTATGAGATATGCATCGTTTACATGTTTACATGCAGTTCATTAAAATGAATAAAATCTTTGTTATTTTTACACATGGGGAAAGCAATACATACAGAACTCTATAGACGGCCTCAACGTCCAGTGTTTTAATGAAGATTCAATGAAGACTTAATGCTTGTTAATAGCATTTGCAATTGTTTTTAAAATAAAACTCGTCTCTACTCTGAAAATTAAGCTATTTACATTGCAAATTTTATGCCAGCTTAAATGACAAAATCGGCTTAAGCAACACAACGTAAATGAAGACGACTTAAACATTAAATTAGATAAAGTGAACCACCTTAAGTCAGTTTTTGACATCATAAAGTTATGTGCTTATAATAAAAAAAAAAAAAAAACAGGGGAAAAATAGACTGAAGAAAGAAGAATAACGTAGGACGAGTGAGAATGAGAAAAATGTACGTAAAATCGAATCAAAAACAAAATGTATTTATTAGATATTGGAGGAAGAGTGCTCCTCTATTGACCGAGTGGCTAAAAACCACCAAATAACATTCGTGGAATGATTTTATAATAAAAGTCAAACCGCGGTTCTCTAACAAAATTTTGAATTCATTTGTCCCGGTTACCGAACAACCGGATAACTCGGTTGCCGAACAAGCTACTCGGCAAGAGTCGACCACAGATTAGAGAGATACAGAATGTCAACTTCTGATACTTCCTATGTTAAAAAAAAAAGTCGACGGCTCAACTAATCAACGACAGGATTACAGATAACGTTGCTATTTAAATTAGATTTCAATGTGAATACGGAAAATATACTATCTTAAATCAGATTAATTAATAAAAAAAAAAATACTGGCGAGTCATAGAAAATTTCTCTAGCTCGTCAGTATTTTATGTATATACTTTTATTTGTGACGTGCCCTTATTATCATCATATTTATACAATAAGAAGCGTTAAAAATAAATAAAAATAATTAAATATTTAAGAATTTTTATTATGTCATAGATAATTTTACATTAGTAAAAAAGAAAATTTTTCTTGTTATTTGTTAAAACAAGTGCATTTTGTATTTAAAGGCCCATCACAATAACCTCTTTTGTAGCCTTGGTTTACGCAATACCCATCACATTGAATGGAAATGAAAGGGCAACCTTTATCTGTTTTTACGTCTCCATCCAATGCTAAAAAAATAATTTTAAATTTAAATTTAATTAAGAATACAAAGAATAAAATAGAATTATTTAAATAAATATCTAGAATTTAAGATAAAATTACAAGAATTGTTTTATTTACCTTGTGTAGAGAAGACG